AATTTGCTACAAATGTCCGCACTCTCTGTAACATGTTTCTTTGGAGAAACGGGTAAACAGAAGGATAAGAAACATTTGGACTCCGGGAAGATTGAGGAATACCCATGGAACAATGCCACTATTATTATTGTTGTTGCAGATAGTTACCAAGGGCAAAATTTACTTACGGGATATGAAGTTAGTGGGCTGAACTCCTGAGAAGTTGGTTAATTGGATACAGGCAGAAATACAAGAAAATAAGGTAAGAGTGAAACTCACAACTCCCTGGGGCTTTTTAATCAGTAGTGGCAGCATATGCAAAGGAAAAGAATGTAGAAATGGAGATGCTGAAATAAAAACTGAGCAAAGTTCTACCAGGACAGAGTTACACCTCTTAATCTCAGGCTCTACCAGGAAAGAAAAAGCAAGCATCCAGGAAGCATCCAGAAATACTTCTCTGACCTGTGGTCACAGAAAAAGTAGTCCAGCAGGAAGATGAACAGGATCAAGAAAGTGTTGTGACCGGAGGATAGTGGCGTAGAGGAAATACATAAGTGTAAGACTGTTATTGCAGCTTCCTGAGGAAACCTTACTGAAATGGATTGTAAGAGCCACAAATTTAGGGGCAGCATCTGTGGTTCTGAGCGTGTTTGGTTAATGCTAGACCCACGTTTATAACAAACATGAACAACATTGCAAGTCACACAACAGATTAACCTAGAGGGTATGATTAGCTTGATAAGAGTGGATTAGATATCAAGGTTTGTTTACCCTTCCAGGGGGAACTGCACAAGTTAGTTCTTTTTAATCAAGAAAAGGTACAACAGTCTGCCTAGAAGCATTTGAGATCTAGATGGAGGACTTGTACTCTTCCTTGAGGATCTACATTTGCTAGAAGGTCAACAAGGAGGACAGGATAGAGTCCCTGATGCACACAGAGTACTTAGGCTCAGGGTGAGCGATGGTCTTGGTCTTCCGCATGGTCAGCACTGTGATCTTCTGCATCCCGTTGGTGATGCCTGGGTCCATGGTGGTCCCTCTGGACAGAACTGTGTTGGCATAAAGGTCCTTGTAAATGTCCGTGTCACATTTCATGATGGAGTTGAAGGTAGTTTTGTAGATGCCACAAAACTCCATGTCCAGGAAGGAGGGCTGGAAGGGTGTCTTGGGGCTCCAGGAACTCTTGTTGCTGATGGTGATGGATAGCTCTCCAGGGAGGACAAGGAGGCCCTCATGGCCATCTCCTGCTCAAAGCAACATAGCACAGTTTCTCCTTGATACACACATGATTTCCAGCTCAGTCATGGTAGTAAACTGTAGCCTCACTTTTTGAGAATCTTCATTAAATAGTCTGCCAGGTCCCAGCCTGCCAGGCCCAGATGCAGAACAACATGGGGGAGGGCGTACCCCTCGTAGATGGCAAAGTGTGGGTCACACCATCACTG